CTCCCAAAGCTGCTCATCTTTGTTAACAACTCCCCTGTTTTTTCTTGGCCTAAAACCCTGGCCACTTCTGATTCTTTCACATTCTACATACAATTAATTCATCAGCAAATCTTGTTAATTCTATGTGTAAGGGATCCAGAGTTCAATTACTTCTTACTACCTCCAACACTGCCATCCCAATCTATCACCTCTTGCCCGGAGAATGCTATCATCCCCTAATTGCTTCCTCCTTGCCCACTCGGTCAGTTCCCAATGCAGCACCCAGTGACCCAGTTAAAATACAAGTCAGATCACATGATTCTCTGCTCCTTTCAAGGCACAACGTCTCACAAAGAAGGAGAAAGCCAACACCATTACGATGGCCAAAAAAACTCGTAAGATCTAGACCATGTTTGCCTCTCTTTTTTCCCCTTTCTCTCTCCCTCATTCTACCCAAGGACACTACTCCCTAAACATATGGGCAAGTTTCACCTCAGAGCCTTTGTGCTGTTTCCTCTGCCTAAAATCTCCTCCAGATACAAGAGACTCACTTCCCTCACCTCCTTCAGGTCTGTGCTCAGATGTTATCTCCTCGGTAATGCAGCTCTGACCCACCAGCACACTACCCTCCTGCAGCACAGAACATTTTATTCTCCAAATCTACTCTTTTCTGCTACATCACTTACTACCACACAGATACTTTATATTTCACACCCCCTGCCCCCTTTCCCAGCCTTTTAATAAACTGTCTCCTTCCTTGCACATAATTTCTCCATGGCAAGAACTTTTTTCCCCCTGAGCAAAGCTGGTAATTTCACATGTTAACTCTAAGGTTCATTTAGTTGTCTCTGAATTTTTCTTAAATGTTCATAAAATCAAAATGCACGTGGGTAGGAAATCAGGCTTCATTACTAACTCACAATATCTTCAACTATAGCAAAATATCTCCTTTAGGTTATCTAGAAAGTTTAGCTCAAGAGCCCCGTCTAGCAAAAGTTCACCATCTACTATAAGCCAAAGACCTCTGTTCTGTTCCTAGTTTTTTGTCTTTCTTTCTTTCACCTTTATGCCAATTTCCCAAAGTTTATATGCCCTTTAAAAAATGGCCAAATCCATTCTGGAACAGTCTGAGGCATACACAAGTCAAGTTATCACAGCCTCTGACAATTTAATGAAACAAATAATGCTAGAATGCCTTTAATAGTTCATTCTGTACCGGAAAACTTCTAAGCAGTCAATTTGATAATTTCTGAGGCACAAAATTCTACAATTGGATAGTCTAGTTGTTTCAAGACTTTCTTTAACCTGAACAAAATTCTGCATCCTTTTTTATCTTTTTTCTTCACTGACTCTAGTCGGGTGCTAGACTAATACTTTTCTCCGGAGCTGCCTTCCAGTAGCTGAAAACAAGTGTCTTACCTCTTCACTCTTTCCCCCCCAGTTCTTTTCAGTGCCTCACATAACAGGTTTCAAAATACCTCACCCACCTGATAACCTTTCTTTTGGCAAACTATAGATGGTAATTTAAAATGTTTTTTAAACTGGAGATGCTTCCTTTATGAGTATACTTTCTACCCTGAACAAAGCCCAAGGGGACCATTTCCTCCCTTAGATCGGAGACTACCTAAAGCTTCTAATGAGGGTCAGTTTCTCACAAAGGGTCCCCAACATCCTCGCGCGTGCTTCTATCACTCAGCCCTGAGTTTACACTGTCAGTCGAGGGGTGGGGGGAACGGGGGTGGGAGGGTAAGCAGACGGGTCAAATCGACAAACCTCGCGGCTCAAGAAAAACGCTAGAGTCAACGCTACCCTTGCTCAGCCGCAGTTTCCAGACTTTAAGACAAAGTTGTTAAACCTGGGGGTGGGGTACTTTCCACGGAGCGAGCGCCTCCACTAGCCGCGGCCGGGCAGGGACAGGCGGCTCCTCCCCACAGCTCTTTCAGGACAGGTCTGGGGGCGGCTTCCCACGGGCCACAACTGCCTAGCCCACTCCTCCCTCCTCAAACCCTATCGGCCAAAGCTCCCTCTCTCGCCCGCCACGCGAACCGAGGATCAGAAGGCTCACCGTGAGTCAGAGCCGCCCGGGGCGCTGGGACACCGCGACGCGCACGGCGAGCCGGCGCGGCCGGACGTGCGTCACAGCCGCGGTCCGCGTGGTGCCCCTCTAGGAATTCGGAGGCCTCGCGTCTCGTTCCGTCTTTGTGGACGCAGAGCCCCACGCCTGCCGCACCGAGAGAGAGAGAGAGAGAGAGAGAGAGAGAGAGAGAGAGAGAGAGAGAGAGAGAGAGAGAGAGATTCAGTACTCACTCGCAGACCTGGGTCTCTGAGGCGGCAGTCCCAGCCGTTGGAATTTTTGCGGATTCTAAAATTCCTGGGCAGTAATGGTAGAAGCTGCCCTAAGTCCAGATGCTACATACAGAGCTTGGTAAACCTGCATGTAGGGTTACCTGCTGTACTTGCTCAGCTGCAGGTTACCAGACTGAAGAATCAGTTTCCCATCTCAGCCGCATCCACTCTGGCCCCCACTGGGTTTGCTTTTGCCTGGTCCCTCAAAACTCATTTTGTTGTAGAGCAACCCCGATACAAAATGGGGTGCCTGACTGTGGGTCCTCACCCGCGCTTAAAAGGACTTAGCAATGCTCTACTGAAGGCACACGTGAAAGGTTAATAAAAGGTTTATTTACAAGGGAAGGGGAAATGAGGAAATGTACAGCTCAGGGAGAAAAGTGGGAGACAAAGTTTTAAATGAGTCCTACCCTATCCGCCGATCAGGAATCCCAAAATGGCGCTCTCAGAGTTGGCCGCCAGCCAGGAGAGGTGAAGCCAGAAGGCGAGCGATCGCAAGCCAGAGAGAGAGAGAGAGACCCCAAGGCCCACGTGTTTGGTTTTTTATATCCAACCTGGCTGCCCAACTCCACCCTCAGGTCCCAGCCACCCTCCCTTTGGTGGTGATGGGATTTGTCTTTCCCAGTGTCCTGATGGCTTTAGTCTGGAGTGGGGGTGGGGCCCACATAGCCTGTATGGGATTAACTCAGGACATCATTTCCCCCTAACAATTCCCCCCTTTCACTTTTTTGCTACCATTTCCATGGTGATGAAGATCAAACATATGGATGCTGGGATACAAATATTATACTGCTAGTCTGTTAGGGGGAAATGATGTCCTGAGTTAATCCCATACAGGCTTTGTGGACCCCACCCCCACTCCAGACTAAAGCCATCAAGACATTGGGAAAGACAAATCCCATCACCACCAAAGGGAGGGTGGCTGGGACCTGAGGGTGGAGTTGGGCAGCCAGGTTGGATATATAAAAACCAAACACGTGGGCCTTGGGCTCTCTCTGGCTCGCGATCGCTCGCCTCCTGGCTTCACCGCTCCTGGCTGGCGGCCAACTCTGAGAGCACCATTTTGGGATTCCTGATCGGCGGATCGGGTAGGACTCATTTAAAAAAAAAAAAATAAAACTTTGTCTCCCACTTTTCTCCCAGAGCTGTACATTTCCTCATTTCCCCTTCCCTTGTAAATAAACCTTTTATTAACCTTTCACGTGTGCCTGCAGTAGAGCATTGATAAGTCCTTTTAAGCGCGCGGGTGAGGACCCACAGTCAGGCACCCTGTTTTGTATCGGGGTTGCTCTACAACAAGTCCTGCAGAACTAGTGCGCTTATGGTGACCAACGCAAGGAATGTTACTTTGGGCTGGTCAACCGCGGGTGTAACTTGGAAACCACGCTGGGCACCAAACTGTTGTAGAGCAACCCCGATACAAAACGGGGTGCCTGACTGTGAGTCCTCACCCGAGCGCTTAAAAAGACTTATCAATGCTCTACTGCAGGCACACGCGAAAGGTTAATAAAAGGTTTATTTACAAGGTAAGGGGAAATGAGGAAATGTACAGCTCTGGGAGAAAAGTGGGAGACAAAGTTTTAAATGAGTCCTACCCGATCCGCCGATCAGGAATCCCAAAATGGCGCTCTCAGAGTTGGCCGCCAGCCAGGAGCGGTGAAGCCAGAAGGCGAGCGATCGCGAGCCAGAGAGAGAGAGAGACCCCAAGGCCCACGTGTTTGGTTTTTTATATCCAACCTGGCTGCCCAACTCCACCCTCAGGTCCCAGCCACCCTCCCTTTGGTGGTGATGGGATTTGTCTTTCCCAGTGTCCTGATGGCTTTAGTCTGGAGTGGGGGTGGGGTCCACAAAGCCTGTATGGGATTAACTCAGGACATCATTTCCCCCTAACAATTTGACGAGGAACAGCAACATATCTGCACATGAAATTCTCTGTCTAAAAGCATCATAAATTTATAGAAATATGGCATTTCCTCCTGATGTTTTCTAGGATCATTTAAACATTTTATTTGCAAATACATAAAAAAGTAGAAAGACTAGTGCACCCCTTACAACATTAGTCAGCTTCAACAATTATCACATGGTCTATCTTGCTTTCTTCACACCCCCGTGCACTGATTAGACATCTAAGATGGCCCACTTCTGGATGCCTCATGTTGAGGAGCATTCAAAAGTCAATGGTTTTGTAGTTCCATAAAACTGGGGGGAAGGGAATAGGCAAAATTTTTAAAAGCCCATGGTCTTCCACAAACGAACAAATAGTGATGGGTGAGGCCTGAGAATCAGGAGAACTTTCCTTCATCTTAGGAGAAGACAGGGTGAATGAGGGACAAAACAGTCTTAGTTTTCAAATATGTGAAGTGTTATTATTTAAAAGAGATGTTTGTCTTAGGTAACCCTAGAGGATAGAACTAAGACCCATGATGGGAACAACCAACCAGTTCAATAACAGGACGGACTTACTAGTGGATTTGTCCAAGAATGGCCAGCCACTTCCTGAATCATCTTGTGTGCTGTTTTGAAGAAGTGGGAGAATCCTAGGGATGATGACAGGGGTTTTGTGAGTGAATTGTTGTGCTAGATGACCTTTAACATCTTCCTGCAGCTTTCCTGAGATTCCTGTTAGTTTTTCATTTGCCCTTCAACCTAATTTTTACAATACTTGTTCAGTTTACCACTCTCTCCACACACCTCCTTTGAGTATTTACTATGAGCCAGGTACCAAGTTTAGCATTTGACTTCCATTCTTTGTTGCTACATTAAAAATACCCCCCAAATTAGTGCTTTAACACAACAATTATATCTCACATAATATCACAAATCTTTGGTTGGGTGGGATGTTCTGCTTCCTGTGGTGTTAACTGAGAAGTTAGGATGGCTGGCCCTTGGTGCTGGCCCATGACAGAAGCTCAGTTGGAAATGCTGATCTGGGTTGTCTGTGCTCTGGCTTAGTTCTCATGGCTGGACTTCCTCACAGCATGATGACCAAGTTTCCCAAAAGGAACATTTTAAGAGGTCAAGGTGGAATTTGTAACATTAAGACCCAGTCTTGGAAGTTACACAGTATCATTTCCACACACTTGATTGTCATAACAGATCATTCTGCCAGATTCAAAAGAAGAGAAGACTATCCCTTGGTCATATTGTAAAAGAGTATGTGGGATAGGAGATAATGTGACCAAATTGTTTGGAAATAATCTTCTATACACATTTGTCTTTGTTACATCAATCCTATAAAATATTAGAATCTTGAGAATATTTACCCCTGTGATATTAAAATACCTTTTATAGCTCATAAAACTAGGGCTCAGAAAAGTAAATACCTTTACTAGTGTCACACAATTGATATGCCTGAAAGTCAAGATTTCATCTTGGCTCTTTCTCCAAAGCCTGTGTGCTTTGGAGTACTATATTGCCTCTGGGTTAGACTGGAGAAAGCAGCAATGTTTGAAGGGAACAGAATCACTAGGGTTGAGGGGAAAACCAGGAAATTTGCACCAATTCTAAGAGCCATGTGTGTGTTGTTTTGGCAGCCTCTATCCAGCCTCTTAGTCAAAAGGACTTTGCAACCAGTGAATCGTGATACAAGGCCTTAAAAAGGAAATTTGTCTAGTTTTAAGCCTGTTATTCTGTCTAAAGCAAAAGGACCTAGAGTTGCCATATTGTAAAATTGTAATACCATAAGAGATCTTAAGGACAAACTGGTTAAGTTCTTATTTTCAGATGAAGAAACCAATGCCTGCAAAAGTCATATCTGAGGCACAGTCATTAGCTAATTAGTAGTAGGGGTGAGAGTAGAATTCAGAGAATCTAATTCAATCCTGTGTCCTTACTATATATGTTATGGATTTCTAAAAATTTTGTTAGAAAGGTCAACAATTTTGTAGAAAGATTAGCTGTCCGTTCAAATTGTACTATATTAAAACAAGTTAACTTAGGTAGATTCGTTATTTTCTTCCATCAATATAACCAAGGCCAAACAAATCCACTCACTGTGATGTGTCATGCATTTCCTCTTCTTCAGAATGGTTTTGATTTCCAAGAACCTCATATTCTTCCAATGAATTCATTCAATAAATACCAAGAAAGTATTCAACAAATACCGAGAACCTATAATGTGTTAGGCATTGTGTAAAAGCACAAGAAAAAAAAATACATGTATTTCTAAGTAGACATGGTAGTCAGGGTATTAGATCAGTAAGTGGTGGCTGACTTGGGCCTCCCTGGTGGCACAGCGGTTAAAGTCTCAGTACTATCAAGCTATGGGCAGCCACTGCAGCACAAGTTCAATCCCCGGCCAGGGAGCTAACCCACACGGCACAGCAGACCTCTCCTGTTTAGCCCGCTGTTCCCCTCAGCAGTGTATTTTAGTAGATCTGCCTATTCTGCAGATTCACTCTCTCTGGTGAATCCTCTCACCCCCCATACCTCTGGCCTACACCCCAGTTCTATATGCATAAATAAATAAATCTTAAAAAATAAGTGGTGACTGGATGAATATGTCATTGTAACATGTGAACATGCTGTTCTATGATAGTCTCTAACTGTTCCTGTGACTGGGAGCTTACTACTTTAGACAACAATTCCTTCTTTTGGAGAGTTCTACTTGCTAAAATTTCTTTAAATCAAAGCAAAAATCTGCTTTCCTGGAATTTCAGCTCATTAATCCTAGTCTTGGTTGATCCTTTTCTCTCATAAAATGCATGTCCTTGTTCCTTGTCAGCCTTTCAAAATATATGAAAACTATCACCTATGATTTTCCCAATGAGCGCCCACAGCCGTTTCATGATCCTGACTAAAGTGGCTTCTGAATATTGGGGTTTTAAATATCTGAACAGACACTGGGTGCTGAGAGGCCACGGTTTCTCATTTAAACCACCTTCATTATTCAGTTCTCTTTTGTCTTAAACAATTATTTGGATCCTCATCTCTTTTTAGAGGGACGGGGATGGGGAGCTCAGTCAGAAGGATGGGTTTCTGATTCTGATCTCATTTGTAGCAGAAATTCACTTGGAAAAACTACCAGTGGCTGGTGTAGGTTTGGCTCCCTCCCTCCTTTTCCAACAGGACGGTCAGGGTTCTCTCTAAAATGGCTGCATTCTGGATCTTCCTGGCTCATTCTTTCCATCACTTACTTGTGCTGCCAAACTATGTTTGGCCACTAGAGGGTGACCAAACCTAGATGTCTACTAGAACATAGCTAGCTAGGCAAGCTCCTTGCTCATTATAGCTCTGAAAACTTCATTTTCTTCTTCCTGGAGCTCACATGTACAGCATGTTGGGAAACTGCTAAGACATCTGCTAAAGAAAATGAAAGGAAAAGACAGTAAAAGTGAAGTGGTGCAGTCAGACAATCCTGTGGCTGAGTGCTGGAGCTCTGTTGCTAATGCGTCTAGGGAGATTTGGATCTGCAACTTGGTTTTCTGGAAAATGGACATCATAATATGTGCTCTGACTGCAGCGTTTGGAGAAAGACTAAATGCTATTACATAAGAGTAAACTAGCTTATAAATAGTAAGGGCTTTTTAATATTCAAAACTCTTGGCTCCAGTATTATTTCTGATCTTGATTTTTATTTTTTTAAAGATTTTATTTATTTATATAAGAACCAGTGTACAGGCCAGATGCACTGGAGGGTGAGAGGATTCACCAGAGACAGAGCGGGGAGCAGAACAGGCAGACTGACGAAATACACTGCTGAGGGGAGCAGTGGGTGAGACAGGAGAGGTCTGCTGCACTGTGTTGGATTCTCGCCGGCCAGGATCAATCCCACACTGCAGAGGCTGCGGACAGCATCACAATGTGGTGCTCAACTCCAGGGAGGCCCTATTTCTGATCTTGTTTTAGTGTCAACTCCTCCTCCCCACAAACGAAAAGATTCTTTTTTCCCAACACCCCTCTTCTCAACAGAAGGTAAATTTTCCTGTCAAGTTGTTTACATGAGAAGTTGCTGACTTTTTCCCCCTTGTTCATGAAAGAATCCAGAAGACATTTGCTTCATTTCAGAGTAGGAGATCACAATAGATTGGCATCTATTGAATAGCTAAGACCTCTAGTGTGCAAAATCGCTTCTCAGGATGCCCCAGTGTCCATCAGCCATACCTGAATGCCTGAACTGATTGCAACCACCAGTCTGGCTGGCTCTACAAGGTTCTTTCATCCCCAGTGGCCTTCACTAGACACTTCTGGTCGTACAACTTGTGCTCTGCATAACCCTAGGGGCCATCACACAATGTAGTTATCAGGGAGTTGTACAGTCACAATTTGCCAGCAAAGGTAGTCAAGTGTCCTGAGGAGGGGACACCTTGTTCCAATTTGTTCAAAATCCTGGCAGCCACAGGCAGAGCTGGCATTACTCATCTGCCTCACTCATTGCTGGATCTCTTCTAATATTCCTAACACCCAGCACTTGTTCACTGAAAGGATTTAGTTCTATTTCTTGGAATCAGGCAAAACAAATCCCCCTACTAAATATTCCTTAAGTATTTAAGGTAGAGACTAAGTTCCCAGTAATTAAGTTCACTAAGTTCTTGTTGGACACAGCAGTTGATTTACCATGTTGAAGTAGGTCTCTCTTTTAAGATGTGGCATCCAGAGCCAAATGCAGGGCACATAATGATGGATCACCCAGGTATTGTAGAGTCAGACTAGCACCTCCTAGTCAAGAATCTCGACTGGAGGCTATGCCGAGGAATCTGAGGCTTGGAGGCAGGGGTGGTAAATACTGGCAAAGGGACATGATAGTTTGGGAAAAGAAAGACCTCTACAAACCGTTCAGTCATTTCCATTATTCAGTCATTTCTAAATAATTGAAATAATAGATCCTCAGAGGATCTAGGAAGCAAAGGAACTCCATCAGCAGAATGATTGGGACTCCTGGGCTCTACTTTTGGGGCACTATGAGGCTCTGCCCCCCACTCCATGCCCAAACCTAATTGTTAACTCAGAACCATAGTCTCTCATAGGGCCTCTTGTCCTCTGCCATGGCCAAGTTCAATAACCGTGTAGGATTTCCTCCTGTTTCCATCTACCCTGCCTCACTTTTGTTCTCTGGAATCACTTCCTAATAGATCATCTGCACACAGGTCCTCAGGTTCTGCTCTCTGGAGGACTCAGGCTAAGAGTTAGGCAGGGCCAGGGTTAGTATTCCAATCTTAAGGATACTGAAATCAAAGTAAATCAGAGCACTTGGCACATCTCTTCTGGTTTCTAAACAGGGTAAGTTAAATATTTAAATGAGAGGAAAAAAGTCAAATAGTTTGTTTCAACATATTAGTAACAACAAATTAGGTTAAAGGTCATCATTTGAAGGTAGAAGCTAGCAGATCACATGCTGCACCATCAGTAGGATGCTCCGTTTTCTAAGTTTCATGAATTGGTCAAAGGTCATTTCAATGGTTGCATCTTATGAAAAAAAATGTTTTAGGGTTCCATTAAACAGCTCCTTTACCCCATGGTTGTTCATCCTGTGGCTTCTAAGAAGCTACCCAAAGCTCTTCCGTGGTAGAGGGTTTGTGAATTACTTAGAATATGTTTGCATGAGGATTGTTTGTGGGTGCAGATCCAGTTTTTAACTTTGAGAATATATCTTTCTATACCAAAACAAGTGCATTTATGCAACTAAGGACAACAAAAAAATAAACACAAGTATTGCCACCTAGAGATGATAATTTATTGTTTTACCATGACCCAGAAAATAACAACAGAAATAACAAGTTATAACAAATCCCCATAATTTCCTTCTCCAATCTCTCTATCCCAATATTCATCGGACAACACTGGTCCCATAAAATGGACCATTGCAATAAATGCACATACATTTTTTTGCTGCCATTTCTCATGATTGAAACTTCAGTCCCTGATAGTTCAAATTGTTAATGGAGGAGTTCCTTAGCTCTCAAAAAACCAAACCACTTTTCCCCTAAGATTCCACTATTTATTGAGAAGTCATTGCAGAAAAGTTAATGAGGATTTTAAATGAACATATTCAACTTCGAAATCATTTACTGAACATCTACCAAGCATCTGGGCTCTTCGGAGACTACTGAAATGAAAAGTCCAGTTTTTAACAGCAATAACTTAATTCTGCAGGTATACAAAGACAAATTTATTCTTTTGGTCTAATTTATTCTAAATTAAGAAACTAGGAACTGAGAAAACAGGAAAAGGTTGTTTTATTCAGTCTACAGATAAACAAGACAATGCCTGAGTTAGCTCTCTATATAAATTTAGGCTTACCATGTTGACCTGGCTGCAATAATCTATAACTAAAAGTTAATAAAAATACATATTTTAAAATAATTGCTGATTTTGCTTGCATACCTGATCCCGAAACTCACATTTTGAAACAGTATCTTCCTGCATAATCATAATCCGCTTCCTCCCACCCCACCCCCCTCATGTTTTCATGTAAGAACACCCACTACCAGCAGAAGCACCTCTAAGTCTAATATGCTTTGTCCTTATTACAGCTGACTAAAACCAACTGTTACGTGATAGAGGTGAAGGGGAAAGCAAAGGGGCACTGACCCCAACACATCCCTAGCAGTTTCTTGTCTCTCCCTCAGCCAGGCCTCATCGCTTTTCCTCAGCTGGCAGGCAGGGGCTGTCACAGCTTCCCTCCTGGCTGCCCCTTCCTACCACACAACCTTGTTGGGAAACTACATGGTGGTGATTCTGGGCAACTGTAGCTGCCTTGTCCCTCCCCTGAACCAAAGGAATTTAAGAGCCAAATCTAAAACTGGAATGAAATCCACATTTCAATGCCACTGTTCAATCATTCATTCTTCAGATCTTGAAACACTCAGCTCTGTTGCTTAGTGAGTGCTTGCTGAAGGGGGAAAAAAAAAAAGCAAGGCCAATTAACTTAGCTGCTTCATGTGGAATCTGAAGTGAGTCGTGATTCCTCAGTAAAGGGAGGTGAGACTCTCAAACATCAAACAAACAAAACTTTAATAGCAGACTACTGTTTAGACGTCAACCTAATGCCCACTCTATCTTCCACTGTTTTAGGATAACAGAAAAAGGAGATTTGTGACATCCATTATTAAATATAACCAGACCATATGAAACTTAGTTCTCATGCTGAGACATTCCGTGTTATATGTCCAAAGCATTTCCCAAACTTTTGTTTGATCTGCAGATTTGGAGATGGCTTACCTCCCTATAACTTCAAGTTTGTTTTACAAAGCTTTGAAAAGTAAGAGATATTTCATTTTTTAGATATAAAAAAATCAATCTGAATAGCAAAATAAGTAAATGCCTTTACATGTATAGTAGTGTCTATTCTAAAAATGAAACCTAAATCTATGTTATGAAAACCTTTCAAATAATTCTTTTATTAAATTCTCCAGTAGTAGTTCAAAGAAGAATCTACTCTAATGTCAATGAAAAGATCTATTTATACCACTCCATTTCCTTTTCTCTGATTCTATTTTTTTGCTTTGCAATCTCCAGACCTACATATAGTTTCCAGATGGGGACACCTGGCCCCCTTAAATATTTCTGAAAAGTTGCTCAGAGTGGGACACAAGAATATGGCTCCTCTGGCAAGTATTGCTGTATCACTGTCTGACAACAGTTAATACTGTTGCTCCAATTCACATATGAACCTTCTACAACGATGGCGGTTACCAGCTTTAGATGAGTACATCAGGATGACCAGACCATGGAACAAAGGTAATAACTCTAAGACAAAATTAGAAAGAAATTATTTCACAGTTATAAATCTTCCCAAGTCCACTCTACTAATCCTAAACCCGGGGTGGGGGAGGGGGGAAAGCAAGGGGTGTAGGGAAGGTACACAGCCCTAGCCCAAGGGCATACTGCCAAAAAAACAAAACAAAAACAAAAACACTTCTCAGGGCTCATCAGAACTTTCTGCAATGCCAGAAACTGGATGCATCTGTGTCTATTTTCCAGAAATAGCCCTCTTGGTGTTTCCCTATCTCACATTCTCTAAGCATAAACATTTTAAAGAGTTGATGAGAGAAGCGGGACTATGGTTTATAGACTCTGGACATGTGTCCCACTGGCCTTTCCTGTACACTCCCTACTCTCGATTCATTGAGGTCTCCACCCAACAAGCTCAGAAAACTCATCCCCTGTGGTTGAAATGATGACCTGGCAGCTAAGAGGTCTGCTTCCTGGCTTTGAAAAGAAAACTCTCAGGAAGCTGCAGATGTAAGAACTGTTCATTTTAGTTCCCTATTAACCTGTTTCTCCTAATGAATTTACTTATCCTCTCTGATTGGATAAGTGCCAAACTATGAAGCTTTTTTCATTTTCCCCCTCCTCAGTTCTGTGAACTGACTTTTTGTCTATAACCACGTCAACTTCTTCACTACTCACTCCAAAACTTTGCCCTTTTGGAGTGACATCAAATAGATTAAAAATAAAATACATTATCTGTTTACAGGGAATATACAAAACAACAACAGGGGTTGGGGATACAAAACACAGACACTGACAATATGATCATACAAAATATGTAGAAGTATCCACATTAACAAAGTCTGTAAGAAGTACATTTTGCTATTTCTTTAGGATTTTGCTATTTCTTTAGCATTTCCCCACATTTTTCTTCTGTGGATCCTCTGGAGTTAAGATTGAGCCTCCTGTGCAGTGTTTCTGAAATTCATTACATGATTGGAACATACTAACAGAATTCGTTTTCTGTCCAAAGCAATGAGCGCTATACATGAAAGTTTTCCTCACAGATAATATTAATAAAGTTTATATACAGCATAAGCTTTCTGATGCTAAGGGCTGAGATGTGATTAAAGGCTGTGCCATACTTATCACATTCAAGAGGTTCCCTTCTGGAATGGATTCTGATGTAAATGTGAATTGTCTCACATCTCAAACATGTCAACCTTTCTGTATATATTTAGCCAAGTTTGATTTGTATGCCTTCAAGAAAACACTAAGTGTCTTACTTATCAAGATGCCTCAGACATATAATTCTCAGGCTTTAGCCTTGCCTACCAGGTTGGAGTAGAAACAAATATCTCACAACTTGAATTTTACTTCTCTTCCTGGCAAGGTTAAGGTGTATTTTTTAAAACCCTTCAGAAACTTTCATTAGGTCAACTAACATGCTAATGGTTAACTACAGAGTACTTGAACTGTGAACAGATTTTAGCCAGTCAAAACTTTTGAATGACTATCCTGAGTGCTAATTAGATTTTGTAAGCCTTTTTGCTCTCAATCCAGTGACATTTTGCACTGAGCATCTGATAAATGAATACAATGCAAATGGTTTTAATAAACAGCTTGAGCTTCTTTTCTTCAGAAGACGTATCTTCAAACAGCTGCTTTAAGGAACGCATCTGCTGAAGATGTGAAGGAACCCAGTGGCTATCCCACATAGTCAATACAATGTCCCAGTGAAAAGGGAGTTAAATGTGGGGGCACAGGTTTTATATATATATATATATATATATATATATATATATATATATATATATAACTTCTATTTTAAAAACCCCAAAATGACAGCTATATTATGTCAGCGTGTAGTTGTGGCTAAAAAAAAGGCCAATGCGGAACCGACCGGAGTTCATTTCCTCTTAACAACAGTCAGCTCTTTGATTAGTGCCTGGAGTTAAGCACCTCACTGCTTTCAGTTTAGCAGCAAGACTTTACTCAAAAGCACAAGCAGTTTCCTATAAAACATCAATGTGCTTCTAGAAAATCTTAAAAGCAATTCTTCTACCAACATTTACTATAAAAAGCTACTTCGATATACTCTTCTGGAGTATCTCTTCTGTTTTTCTTAAATTAGAAGTACAGAAATATTCTGGTCACCAGTTGGCTTCCTTGAAGTTTTCCCAGGCAACACTGATGAAATTGTTCAGAAGCTGTAAGGAAGCTGTGGTTGGTCCAAGTTACAGAGATCAAAGAATTACAGCTGTGTAGAATCTTAGTTTGGTCTGGAGCTGGTCACATCTGTCCCCATCTCATTGGCGCCCCAAAAAGCCATGATGTCCCATGGACTTGAGCTATTGGTTAATGAACAACTGAACGATGATGTCTCTTGATGGAAAATCTCAAACTCTATGTGAGGTTCTCCTATTATGAGGCTAGCCTTTAGGTTTGTTCTACTCTACGTTTCTAGTGGGGCTGCCCACCATCATTTGCATGCTCTTATGAGCAATGGCACTTCTCCCCAGTCCCTGATGACCACCTATATCGCCCTCAATACTTAAGTCTCCTGTATGTGTATCTGAAAACAGTCTCTATCATTAGCTTCCAGGAAGTCAATGGCATCCTCCTGCACAGATGACGGAAAAGATCAGCCTCAGTCTTTAGTGATGAGAAGCAAAAAAGAGACTGTGTACTATAACTATGATACAATCAACCACATCTTAGCATGTTGGTGAACTTCTCAGAGCAATAAACACGTTATGATGTCAAATGCTTTTGTGACGTTTCTGGAAAGTGTGGAAAAAATACTGCCTACAACTTTCCTTTTTCTGAAGTGACCCAAAAAAATCACATTTTCTGAACTGTATTATCTAAAGTTACAAATGATTCTGAAAGTGCTCAAATCATTACTTTTTTCAGCAGCTGACTGAAGAGAATTCTGGCTAAGATCTTTACTACAGAAAGATGTCAAAAAAATGGCCTCAGTCAGTGTTCATATCCTTCAAGATGACAAGAGTAACTTCTGACATTCCAGGGTTTTTATTCATTGATGTGTGTTTAGAATCTACACAGGTGGCCAACCACCACCTTTCCTTCATATTTAGGGCAAAAAAATAGAATCAGACCCTAGAGCTTTATGTATATGCCCACATCTGAAGGTCCCCTTCAAAATTTGAGCCAGGCTACCATATTTCAGGTACTCCTGGTGCACAGGGCTTTATAGTAAATGTAAAAGTCCTGTCAGAAGTCAGGTATAATGAATGCCTCGCTCATGTTCAGCACCTGGTCCAGTGCTATTGGGGATATAAATATATCCCTTGATGATCAAACCATCTCTTTTGGGAGTGATGAAAACTTTCATACATAAAACAATGAAGGATTATAAGACAGTATACAATCAAGTGCTAACTTGTGGAGAACTGCATTTAGGAGTGCCATAGTGCTTTAGGGAATTTTGAGAAGGAAAGAAGTGTTTTGAATTGCAGTTGCCATTTTGGAATTTATCTCAGTGATGAGGATAGAACCATCTACACATGTTGGAGTCCTTTGGAACTGTAGACTGGTGCACGTACCCTCTCTTTCCGGGAGAGATAGAAATCTTTGGTTTGATACCGATCAGCACAGTCCTAGATTTCTATAGCTTTGGTAGGCTACCAGTGATCATATATATAACTTAACTAATTTGAGCAGCAGGTCCCAAAGTAATTTTTTGTTTTAACTGTCCCTCTTTCATGAGAAACAAGGTATAGCAAGATGTTGGCCAAGTCAGGCTTGTTTGCAGCAAGCAGCTTCTTGACCTTGATATCATGTTCACAGAGCCAATTTTAATCTTTCGATTATACACTGTGGTTGCTGAGAGTTTAACAGTGCCTTAGAGGTATCCTCATTACTGAAAAGCTGGATGCTTCACTGTGTGCATGCTTACATCTTGAGTGGAAATATCATGGATTAGCCATATGATTACCTTTTCTCTGCAGGGGCTGTGTGGAAGAATTACATGCCCACAGACTACACAAAGGCAGAACACTGCTGATGTAACTATAAGGATCCTTAAGTGTGATTTTTTTCTTTTAATCTGTTGAGGCTTTCTTTTTCCCCTCCATGGCCACACATCTCTGAAACAATTTTCGAAACAAAAGGGGGAAATGGCTTGTTGATAAATTCTCACTTTACACACAGCTTTTCAGGAATGCTCCAAATGCATCCAGGGAGGCTGGGCTGTACTCAGAGGCTCTCTCTCTGGTATGAATTCTGTGATGCAGAGTGAGGGTCGAGCTCCGGGTGAAGGCCTTGCCACACTTAGTGCACTTATAGGGTTTTTCTCGGGTGTGAATTCTCCGATGCAAAATAAGATATGAGTTTCGGTTGAAAGCTTTTCCACATTCACTACACTCATAGGGTTTTTCCCCTGTGTGGATTCTCTGATGTTTAGTAAGGTCTGAGCTCTGGCTGAAGGCCTTCCCACACTCGTTACATTCATAAGGTTTCTCTCCAGAGTGGATTCGCTGATGTAGAATGAGATTTGAACTATGACTAAAGGCTTTGCCACACTCATTACATTCATGAGGTTTCTCTCCTGTGTGGATTCTCTGATGCAGAACGAGGTTTGAGTTGAGACTGAAGGCTTTCCCACACTCACTACATTCATAGGGCTTTTCTCCAGTGTGGATTATTTTATGGCGAATAAGGCTTGAACTCCTCGTGAAGCATTTACCACATTCATCACATCTATGAGACTTTGCTCCTGTTGGAACTTCTTCAGGGGTGTTAAAGTTTGAACTTAGACTGAAGCTTCTTCCCAACCCTTTACCCTTCTCCCTTGGACCTCTCTCTCCTGTGGCTGTTTTTTTTTCCTTGGCTGTGACAGGCCCTGAATCTCTCTTTTCTTTTCCAGTCTTCTCCTCAGGGTTCCTCTGCTGCCTTTCTATTATTCTGCCCTGCTGCTCACGTTTTTCCCCAAACTCTTTCTGCAATCTTCCTGTTGTCTCTCCACGTGATGCTGAGTCTTCTGCCATTTCGGCCTTTGAGGTAGATTCCTCATTCTCATTCCTGTTTTCACAACCTGACACAATAAATAGAAAATACAAATAGCACCTTTTTCTTTTGAATATCCAGGCTAATCAAGTGACAGGAAGCCTCTACATGCCTGCAAAATCACTTCACAATATTAATCAGAGATAAGAGGAAAAAAAAAAAAACTAGGGACAGCAGTAGAGGTGGGTCTAGGAGGGCAGGCAAAGCATGGAGTAACAAGAGAGGGAGCATTCAGACAGGATGGGAATAAACAGAAACCCCGGGGAATGAGCAGAGGGAGCAGAACCAGGTGTGTGTGGGGGGGAGGAACAAAGAACATAAGAGATCACAATTCCATTATTTGGTCACCCAGTAATTAATTTGAAAAAACAAATATACATTTAAAAAAACATGGTCTGTTTCTAATGTATTTAAAAGTTTAATGGTTGGGCCTCCCAGGTGGCGCAGCAGTTGAGCGCTGGGTTGCGAAGCCTCTGCGGCCTCTGCGGCGCCGGTTCGATCCCCGGCTGCTCCCCGGCCACCACAGGAGGGTCCCACATGGCGCGCAGACCTCTCCTGCTGCCCGCTGCTCCCCTCAGCAGTATACTTCGGTCCTTCTGCCTGCTCTGCTCCCCGCTCTGGCTCTGGTGAATTCTCTCACCTTCCCGCGCTTCTGACTGTACCCAGTGCATGTATAAACAAACAAACAAATAAATAAATAAATAAAAATTCATGCCTCTAAAAAAAAAAAAAAAAAAGTTTAATGGTTACATGGCCCTTCAGACAAAGGAAAGAGTTTCTCTCCACCAGGGAGAGCAGCCGAGAGCTCTCTACAACAATGCTCAGTAAAAGAGATGCAGGCAAAGAAGTCTGCTGGGACATCAGCAAACATAACTAAAATCTTGACTGATAGACAACTGAGAATAACTGAGAAAAGAAACGAAACTGACCGGCCTCCCCGATGACCTAGGGGTAAGTCTCAGCGCTAACACTGCTACCACCTGAGTTTGATCCCTGGCCAGGTAGCTGACCCACATGGTGCAGGAGACCCCTTCTTGTCTCGCCTGCTGCTCCCCTCAGCAGTGTATTTCAGTAAATCCACCTGTTCTGTTTCCCACTATGTCTCTGGTGAATCCTCTAACTCTGGCACCTCTAGCCTGCACCCCAGTTTTTCTACACAAAAATTAAAAAAAATAAGAAAGAAAATAAACTAAAAACAATTCTGATGCCAGCCCACAAAGGAGAGAAGAAAAAATCTCACAAATGCAGAGCTGATCCTCTCATTTTAGCATAGCTTATTCAAACACTGGAATGTATTTTTCTTATAGTTTGCTATATTCTCTATCACTCTTTTTTTTTTTTAAATGACAACTCCTTTTTTTTTTTTAAGATTTATTTATTTGTTTATACAAGCACTGGGTATAGTCAGAAGCGCGGGAGAGTGAGAGAATTCACCAGAGCCAGAGCGGGGATCAGAGCAGGCGGAAGGACTGAAGCACACTGCTGAGGGGAGCAGCGGGCGGCAGGAGAGGTCTGCGCGCCATGTGGGACCCTCCTCTGGTGGCCGGGGAGCAGCCGGGGAGCAGCCGGGGATCGAACCAGTGCTGCAGAGGCTGCGGGCAGCTTCGCAACCCAGCACTCAACCGCCTTGCCACCGGGGAGGCCCTCTCTGTCACTCTTTTTAAACAGATTGGAAATGTTCAATAAACACACACTATTTTACATGTTTATGTTTGTCTAGCGAAAAACCAAATACCCCAATCCTATTCTTTATCAGGCTTCAGAAACCTTTCCAAGTAGGTCTCTATTACCCCAAACAGGCCCCTAAGAGCAACTACTAGTAGAGTTCAGTAGCTAACCCCTGACGTTAGTGATGAAGTTGGCATAAGTACTAAACTGATTATAAGTGAGGAAGAGGAAATTGGTCCCCTTCTTTTCAATTTCAAGCCAAGATCCTTAGCTAGATCGCTTCCAGTGTTGGTTGGTTTGTGCTTTTTTTTAAAGTTATCTCGGAGTAGGTAATAACAATGTTCAGTTCTTTCATAAATAAAGCTCAGTTCTTTGGCTTAATTTTCATCCAGTTCAAAGTGCAAATACCAGGAAACCATAAACCCCAGTTATATCCATGGTTCAAGCAAAACCGGGTTTGTTTAGTAATATCTTTTCTTCAGTTTCCCTTCATGCACCCTCCCTAGGCAGAATTCTTTACTGTGGACTTCCCTACGACAGGATGGATTTCAAGGTTTCTTTGCAGGACTATTTTTTTAGGATTAAGATCCAGCAGAGACAAAGTGAATGTTTGCCAACTGTATCACCTTGTCTTATTGGCCTGGTGCCTCTTAGAATTTCTTAATCTTCCTACAAACCCAGGACCCAGAACTCCTCATGAAGGATTACCATTAGGTGTGGAAAATGGGAATCCTGATTGTAAGCGAGGTACAGGCCCAAGTTCATGGAATACACAAAGCTGTTGGCAAGCAGTACTCCCAGAAAGGAAGAAGACAAAAAGCGCAAGAAGGAATGTGCGGCAGTTGAGGAAACATGGTGCCAGGTTAGGATTCAAATGATGCCCACTGGTCCTCTGTACTAGGAAATACACTCTCCCTCCATACGACAGAGGCACCCAAATTGTAACCCAAGGGGAGTAGAGCAGAATCCTCCTGGGTAACAGAGTGGTTGAAGAGGTGAGAATTCAAAACACTCTGATTTCAAACAGCAAAAACCACCTATTGGTAAAAAACAAAATCTACCTGGAATCAGGATTTTTATATATATCAGACTTTGAGGGTTAAATGAACATAGATATTCTCAGTTTCCATTGGCTTGAAGAATGGGCCTCAGTAATCTCTAAATCCTTGTCAACATTCAATTGAATTGTCAGAGATCCCATAGCCAAGAACAAAGAGAGGCAAGTAATCATATCAGACAATAATCCTGCATCAGTCTTACCCTGGGAAAACACGTTCCCATAATTCTCCTGCCTGTTGTCCCTATTGAGATTCCTTCGAGCCAGGTTCTGACATCCCCATTCCTCCAGGATGAGGGACACGGCCATGTCCTCGATCTTCACCATTGCCTGAAATAATGAGACCCCCACACTCAGTTCCCCCTGAACTGACAATCCCATTGCGCAAACCTGGAGTCAGGGACAGAGATGACTGTAAACCGTGAGGATGCTGGGAAAGAAAAGGTGACCATGCTGGACTCTGGAGGACTGGGGGGTGGTTCACAATGGGCTTGGGGCTCTGGGGGCAGTGGTATCAAGAATAAGAGTCCTGCTGGGGATTCCTTTCCTAAAAGTGCTCCAGGAAGGGAGGCCAATAGGAGGAACACAGGAGGGTAGAGGGGCCCACAGCTCACCTGGGAATCTGCTGTGAATAGTGCAGATGCCACCGCCTGGTCTCTGGGACTCCCCTCCTGATGAGGGGCAGGAACGTGGGTGGCAGGGAGAGCTGAGGGAGAAGAAAGAGACTGTGAGTAAAAGCAGCTCTATTCTGAGCCTCCCTCAATGAAGGACCCAGGGGCACTTTCTTTTCTGTACCCGTGTATTCAAGGTTCAGTGTTTAACTACAGAATAGATAATTACAGAGAATATCAAAAAGAAGCATGACTTGTTTCTGAAGAATTCTACTCTTAAGCAAAAGTCACAAGGAGTCCTAAATGGGTCCTTAAAAATCACCTGGTCTAACCCTTTATTTTAAAGAAAGGGAAATTGAGGCCTGAGGCCCTGAGAGGGACCATGACTAAGATCACACAGTTAAGACTGGCAGGGAAGAATCAGAATCTAGATCTTACTCTCAGCTACAACTGGGGATCATTTAGGCCAAGATTTCAGGGCTGATTCACAATTTTCTCCAGTACAAAGGCATCAGAATCCTGTTTACGGCTATGGTGGTTAAAAAAAAAAAAAAAAAAAAAAAAAAGCTACACAGCTTTAAAATCTCTAGTAGTAAAATTGTGAAAGGCAAGATAGGAAAGGGGCCTTTTCACCTCTGGATAAGTTTTTGCCATGTTTTTTTTTTTGTCCCTCTAATTTTTCCTCACTTGACCACAATGACCATTTTTTGATCACACACACACACACACACAAACACACACACAGTCCTTGCTTCTTACCCCGTGATTGTACAAGGCGTGGTTTCCTAGATGAATGTTTGAAATGAGACTGGGTAGCCTCATGATGAAGGTCAAAGCTTGAGGACTCCTGCACTGGATCCAGAGGTACCATCCCCCTTGCAAGCATCTCAGGGCCATGAACTTGACCTGGAACCTGAGAACAAACAGGTTGGACTTGCGGTAAATCACTTTTTAAACAGGAATTTAAATAAATAAAAAAATGTAAATATCCCAGTGGATACAGGGGTGAGAAGGCCAGAATTTTTTTTTGAAGATTTATTTATTTATGCATACAAGAACTGGGGTATAGACCAGAAGTGCAGGGTGTGAGAGGATTCACCAGAGAGAGTAGAGAGCAGAACAGGCGGATCTAGTGAAATACACTGCTGAGGGGAGCAGTGGGCGAGACGAGAGAGGTCTGCTGTGCCATGTGGGTTGCTCCTGGCTGGCGGGGGACTGAACTTGTGCAGCAGTGGCTGGCAATAGCTTGATAGCACTGTCTTTAACTCCTGCGCCACCAAGGAGGCCCAAGGCCAGAATATTTTTTTAATATCTGATGAGAGCTGGAAAATGACCACCACAAAGACTGCTAATACTAGCTTTAAATCAGTAACTTTCTCCTTGTTCCAGTCTCAAAGGTCGTGAGGTTGCTCACATATAACTGGTTTCACCTCTTACCTGCTGGCCTGATAAATCAAGCTCTAAATCTTCCAGAAGGGTCACGGCCTCCTCCCCACTATCAGGACGATATTCCTGAAGCCAGACTTGGAGCTCCTTGGGCAGAATAGAAAGGAACTGCTCCAGCACCAGCAGCTCCAGGATCTGCTCCTTGGTGTTAATCTCTGGTCGCAGCCACTGATGACAAAGTTCTTTCAGTCGACTCAGAGCCTCTCGAGGTCCAAAGGTGTTCTGGTAACAGAAGTGCCTGAAACGTTGGCGGAATATCTCTGGGTCGGGAGGAGGAGTCTCCTGCAGGCTGGAATCCTGGCCCCACATGTGGTCTTCTTCATCTTCCTCTTCGACCTTCACTATGACGATACCATCTTTCTCCTGGCCACCCTGTGGGGACAGACCCGTGGCTTCCCTTGATTCAGCAGTCATCATTCAGGTGCAGGGAACTGAGTTGATCCAAGAAGGATCTGTGCTCTCCTTTCTGACCCAGGAGATGCTCTCTGATCTATTTTGGAACTATTTCTGCAGGATTAAAAAAAGTTATCATTACCTTCATAAAAAGTGACCTGTATTACTAACAGATATACAAGGCTCCAGATTGAGGTACTAAGCGTGCCTCTGGATCTCAAAGGGAGAAAAAAGCCTGCAGAGCCACAGCATTTTCACTGTCACTTTCTATAATAAGGTTTACAAACAAAAACCTCCACGAGGTGAATTCTACTCTACCTGACTTCTAGGATCTCAGTTTACCATGTCATGCCTTTACAGTCCCTGCCCAGTGAGAGCTGATGCAAACAGGGTGCCAAGCAAGCACCAGGAATCAAGACTGAGGCAGAGAAAATGTAATTTGCTCAGTAGCAGGTGGCTACCTAGTGAAGTCAACATTCAAGCCGTATTTGAAGCCATATTTGAAGCCCAACTTGCTAATCCACTTACCTGTTTCTATTATTTTAAGGGTGCACTGGTCAGTCTGAAACTCTGAGCGTCACAGTACAAGATGGCCCACTTTGGAAACAAGAAAATATAAGAATACATTTGTATTTTAAAAGTGAGAGAGATTACACCATGTTTAATGTACAACTTGACACCAGCACCTCTTGCTCTAGATGCTGAATTGTCACAAGTCACAGGGTATGTGATCTATCCTGAGGGAAGAATGGAAGCCCTCCTCTCGCACAGAGGGCTGCCTCATTCACTTGTTTATTTCTCTGCATTGTGATGGGACTTTCAAACAAGATAACTGAGTTATCCTGCATTTTATCTGAGGTCAGTTATGTGGAATAAGGGAATATTTTGTCTAGTTTTAACTAATCTCACCTTCATAAAAGAGACAAGCAGATTTATAGTTTCTGCAGATAAACTATAATGAGAGGAAACACTATTGATGCAAACACATGTGAACAAGAAAATGACACAGCTCAAGTTTCTATTCAGAGCGAGTTTTACTCAGCTAGATTAGGGGATAAAAATCAAAGTCAAACAAGATGTTAATCAAATGCATGAAAAAGTAGCTGCTTAAGGGCCTCCCTGGTGGCGTGGGCGGTTGAGCGCCGCACTGTGGAGCTCTCCGCAGCCTCTGCAGCGTGGGGTTCGATTCCTGCCAGCCAGCGAGAATCCCACATAGCGGCAGACCTCTCCAGTCTTGCCCGCTGCTCCCCTCAGCAGTGTATTTCGTCGGTCTGCCTGTTCTGTTCCCTGCTCTTTCTCCGGTGAATCCTCTCATCCTCCCGCGCATCTGTATAAAATGCCCCCGTTCTTGTATAAAAATAAATCTTAAAAAAAAAAAAAAGTAGCTGCTTAAAGTACGAGATAAGAACTGCCATGGGAAAAGATGTATGCTGGGAAATTTTCTGTTATTATGTAATTTTAACTGCTAAAAATGATACTAAGTTTCCTGGAAAAGTCATTATCTACACATTTTTAAAACTTACAAATATTTTACCTTGTTTTAAAAATTTTTCCAAATGAAGAATTTTTCAATGGGTGTTTAAACTGTTAAAAATATAAAACACCTTTTGATTAGTTTTGAAGAACGGGTGATTTAAGGACATGGAAAATGGAAATGAATTTCAACAACAAAAATTTATTACTATTGGTGTATAAGACCGATCACGACTTACAAACAGGTAGTCAGTGATGCACGTCTCACATATGAATGGAGAAATCTTTGTGAAGTATCTTATTCACATTTATAACCACCAAAATTAAGCATCAAATTGAAGTTTTAGAGACAGACCATCCAGCTGCTGTATCAGTGAGTTAAGCCAAGAATTTTAAACTAGCAAGCAATTTTATTTTTTTTTAAAGATTTATTTATTTATACAAGCACTGGGTACAGTCAGAAGCGCGGGAGGGAGAGAGAATTCACCAGAGTCAGAGCGGGGGGCAGAGCAGGCAGAAGGACCGAGGTACACTGCTGAGGGGAGCAGTGGGCAGCAGGAGAGGTCTGCGCACCATGTGGAACCCTCCTCCAGTGGCCGGGGAGCAGCCGGGAATCGAACCAGCGCTGCAGAGGCTGCAGGCAGCTTTGCAACCCAGCACTCAACCGCTGCGCCACCGGGGAGGCCTAGCAAGCAATTTTAAATGACATGACTTTCACTAAAAAACTATTAGTAATTTTGTTGGAAAAGGAATCATGTGCATTTAATAGCACAAAGTTACTTTTAAATAGCACAATTTAATGTATTTTTATTATAGAAAATATTGGTAAATAGTACATATCTAATTCTTAGTTGTTTTTATTGATAGGAATGTTTTTACTAACAGGAAAGTTTGGAGACAGTTATTTTAGTTACAAAGAATAAGACTGATTTTAATCTGAACTTTATCAGTATTAGTTCTTTCTACCTCATTTTTTTGTCCCTAATGAAGAACAGAAGTCCTATTAGGGAGGGATTGGGGTCAAAATAAGGGGGTTGCAACTGTATGGGGAATATAAAAATAAAATTTATTTTAAAAAAGAAAATAAAATAAAGAGGTATCAGGATCACCCACTTCAAAGTAACTAACCACACTTCTCCAATGCTACACAACCCTATCATCTCCTTAAGAGTACTTACTAGTAAAGTATCTCCTTTACCTGTGAATTTGTGGTAGTGTCTCACACACACAAACACACCATAAAAAGTGACTTTTCAGCCTAAAATGAAATATAAAGTGTGTGCCTTAAGGACATTTACTGGAATGACTGAGTTTGCCTCCCTCATACTTCCCAACCCTTTGGCCCTAAAAACCTACTAGTGAGATACTATTAATTAAAAGCTGTCACCATTATTACATTTTCCCTAAGAGTATAAATTCTCAGCTATTTCAAGAGTTCCTACATTATATTTTTATTTCCAATGCCTGGTTTAGAATAAAATCCATTTATTCAGAAAAAAAAAATAGTAGCCTATAACAATAAAGAACATTACGCAAAAAAGCTTTGACAAAATTGTAAAGAAAATGTGGCAATTAAATCATTCCTCCAATAACTTGACTTCACAACTGGTAAAGTCCTACTGCAAACCATAAACTGTAGCTCTTCCTCTTGATTTCTTCAGACCTGTTTTGTACCATGCCATCCTTGTTGGGGTAAATAAATATATCGGTTTTTCTACTTCAAATCAGCTTCACATGTAAAGTCCTTACAGCTACAATTATTCAATATCCTAAACATTTCTGTTTATCTCCAAGATGGAAGGTGCCCTACCTGAGGGGAATAAAAAGATGAGAAGGGTGATTCCTGTTTTTACACAAATTACAGTACAAAGCAGAAGTACAAACTGTTTTAAGGTTTCAACATAAGAAGGTTCCCAACTAGTGAGAAGAGCCCTGAGAATAATTGATAGCATTAAGGCAGTTTCTAGGAGGCCCCCTTGAGCCTCTTCCTAGACCTCTACAGGCACAGGCAGCCAGTAGGCAGTCCAAGAGATCACTCCATTGACTTTTTCCCAACCATAAGCAAAATAATTGTTCTATGCTTTGATTTCTTTCATTTTATTCTGGAAAGTCAAAAGAAGGGCTTTGACTTTTGGTTTTTTTTTTTAAGTTTTTATTTATTTATGCATACAAGAACTGGGGTACAGGCCAGAGGTGTGGGAGGTGAGAGGATTCACCAGAGACAGAGTGGGGAACAGAACAGGTAGATTGACTGAAATACAGTGCTGAGGGGAGCGGTGGGAGAGTCAGGAGAGGTCTGCTGCACCACGTGGGTATCTCCCTGGCCGGGGATCGAACTCGTGCTGCAGTAGCTGCGAATAGCTTCATAGGTTGCATCTTAACCCCTTGTGCCAGCAGGGAGGCCCAGGGCTTTTGTCTTTTCTTGCTATGCTTCCCATAATTACTTCCCACCACCCTAATGTCTCCTTACATTTGGTCTCGGTAGACTAGCGCCATAGTCACCAACAGTCTCTCTGGCTTCAATTTCCCCCTGTTCCACAGTAGTTTTACTTAAGTATGCTTCTGGCCATTTCCTTCTTCCCCTCAGTGGTTGTCATTGATTCCCCAATTATCTACCAACATAGCATTTAAGGGCCTTCACAACATACCCCACTCTATTTTTCCCATCTTACGTCAGACTACTTTTCCTACTAGCACCCCCGATACTCTAGCCCATCTGGCCCATTAATGTTCTCCTAGCATAGGGTGTGATTGCTCATTTTCATCCTTTGCTATAAACAAGCTCCCACATTATCAACTCTATTGGTCAAGATTTTACTCAACCCTTCTAGACGCAATGTCTCCTGACATTCCAGATTAAATAAGATACCTTCCTCCTTCGAATACCCTTAGTACTTTATTTTCTTATGACTTTTATTCTTGTGTACTTCTGTTTGGGTAGTTCCTATCTCCACCTTCCAACTAAAATTCAAGCCCCTCAAGGACAGGGACTCTTCTTTGTATTTACTTCCCAAAGAACCTGGAAGTTTAATTCTGTCAAACTGAACAGAAATTAGAACTATTAAAATTATGACAGCTCCCAGCAGACCTCTCCTGTCTTGCCTGCTGCTCCCCTCAGCAGTGTATTTCAGTAGATCTGCCTGTTCTGCTCCCCACTCTGTCTCTGACGAATCCTCTCACCCCCCCACCTCTGGCCTGCACCCCAGTTCTTGTATGCATAAATAAATTAAAAAAAAAATTATGACAGCTCCCCCTGCCATCTTTTTATTGTCTTCCGTGGCAGCTAGTGATTGGCTATTCTACTAATATTTCAATCACTTGACTGCTCTCTCCTTATATGCACGCAGTCTCCAAGAACCAGAGAAGTTATTTCTTGGTTCACATTTATTTTTCTATCTAGTTTCGTGAAATCCAGATTGTTTCCTTGCCTTCATTTTCTCCCTACCCTTCTATACCCACTATAATGCACTTCCTTCCTTTCTCTCAGATACTTCTTCCTAAAATACTACAGTCTTGCAGTCAGTACAGTCCAGTACATGGTCCCAGTTTCCTCTCAAGCTTCATTCCCTAGCAATCTTCTCTAGCCCCACCAGGAACCTTCTCCAACCAGCAAAATAAGTCTACTCAGTTATTTCCCAAATATGCCTTGTTCCTTTCCTCACACTGTACTCAATGCCCAGGACTCCCTTCCCAGTCTTCTCAAACCCACTTATCTTTCAGAGCTAAGGTAAAATAACATTTGCCCCCAACATCATTCAAGAAGCTTCTAGTATGTATAATAGTGAAAGCCAATGTTTATTGAGTAGTTTCTATGTACCAGTATTACATTAAGCATTTCATACAATCGTAGGTGGTAGAAACAATCACCGTCTCATTTATAATGACAAAAATGAGTTTTATGACATTAAATAACATATCCAGGTCACACAGTAATGATATGGCACTCAGGATCTGAAATTAGGTCTGAAATTAGGAATCCAATCCTCAGTTCAAGCTCTTTAACCATCATCCCAAATTCATTCTGTCCCAAGATGTGGGGTAGGAGGGGCTTCTGTGTGCATACAGATTCCTTCTAAATGGAGGACATTCAGGATTGGACCTCATCTGCCACCCACTGTCTTCAACAGAGTTATGTGGCTAAGGAGGCACAGCAGGAGATATAAGTGGGAGTCATCCAAAAATCTAACCTTTCAAATAGGAGAGCTGAGCAGTAGTGCAACATAAATCTCTATTCTTATGAAATTCGTTCTTGTATCAGCTATTATGTATTATGGACAATAAAGAAATCTTGATTTGTGTCCACACCTAGGCCACAGTTTTAAAGAGAAGGCTACTCCTTGAGTCACAGGGAATCAAAAGTTAAGGGTCTCTGAACAGGTAGTGAGACCCAAAGGGACAGAACAGGGGCATGTACATACTCCTTCTTCACCTAAATAGGGAAGGTTTTCTCCACCCCCCTCCCCCCCCACCCCCCTGCAATATTTTCTTTGTTCCTACTCTGGAGCAAAGACTAAAAAGTCACAACAGGAAAAAGGCTGAATTTTATTTCAGGCTTCCCAGATGACTTGTGCACACTATCTATTCTCTTTCCTCTAACCCCTGGCTTGAATGGTCTCCACTAAGCATTTGCTGTGGAAGTTCTTATGGTATTTCTTTCTCTTTAATTTCTCATGCCTTCCTCCTTAAGGAGACTCTTGTTAAGGGTGTGCTTCTTTGTATCTCTGAGACCATTTTTGATTCCTTGCAAGCATTAGTTTTTCAAAAGAACCAAATTTAAATGTAACTCTTTTTTGCCCATCATATAGTGCTGAAATTTACCCCACCATAGGTTACTTGGAAGAATTTCATGTTAGCATTAAAGTGCTACTGCATTTACTAGCTGATTATTTTAGGTTAAATTAATCTCTCCACACATATTTACTCATCTGTAAAATGAAAAAAAGTATTTGCTTCACAGAGTTGTTGTGATGATTAGAGGTAAAATATTTATTATGGACAATAAAGAAATTTTGATTTGTGTCCACACCTAGGCCACAGTTTTAAAGAGTAGGCTACTCCTTGAGTCATAGGGAGGTAAAATATATAAAGCACTTAAAACAGTGTCTGGCATTTAGTTGGCCTATAGAAATGTTTTAATTTTTTTCAATAAACCTAAGATATGAACTGTTTTTTCTCATTTAAAAATTAAGTAATGGGTAAAATTCTGTGATAGTAAAAAGTAGCACAGGTTGGAACACCTGAATAGTTTCCCACAAATAAGAGACCCACCCCTGAGCGAATTATTTAACCTCTCTGGCATACAGTATCCTCCTCTGTCAAATGGGAGAGGTGGCAAGTAATACTTCTGAGGAGCAGAAAAGTAACTCTGGGGTCCCTTTGAGCTGAAAAACATCCTGACAATTTTAGATAAGATTACCCCCCAGCAACTAGTTCTCACCAAGAATAAATACCAATGACTTTCTCACCAAAAGGGCTTGGAGTTACAAGCTCAGTGTATTCCAAAGACTATCTTCTAAACAGGGCAGTATCTTTTCCAGGGCACAGTCCAAAAAATTTAAATAAATTGCCCCCTTCCCATTTTTGAACAGAGCTATGAAAAGTTTTAATATGAAGATGTTACCTTTAAGAGACAGCTGGCTGCTCAAAGAATAGTGACAGTACCTCAGTGAAAAGGTAAGATTTAACATACTAAATCTGTGTTTACATACAATATAAAAGTTAGAAAAAATTTAAGTGTGTTGATCAAGTAGATAATCAGCAAGATTATGTAGCTATTGAGTAGCTAGCATCCCTGCTGGTAGTTGAAAATAGGTGAAAACTGCCTGAAATAATGAACAAGAGTTTTGCATAATTCAGAGATACTAACTTGGGGAAACATTCTGGGACAAATCTTCATTAAGGTACCCTATAGAATAAAGCTATTTCTTCACATTTGGGCAGCAAATATATTAACAGTGCTTTGTTGATTGCGTTACAATGACTTCTCCACAATTCAATTCAACAAGTATTTATTGACCACCTCCAATCTGCCTAGCACTGGCCTGTACAATAAATGCTTTCTTTGGTCCCCGGCCATGTAACTGCCACTCTCTATAATGAAAGTATCTTATTGTGTACTGGAGGCACAGCAGGAAAGGGAGGGGGAGGAAGCATGTCAGGCTAAATTGTAGCTGAATTTTCCAAATACATTGACCAAATCAAATACGTTCAACTTTGGAAGAGGCTTTTGAGAAAATCTAGTTAATTTTATTGTTGAGTTGGTGAGTGTCTTGTATTATCCAAGGTCACTCAGATAGTTTCCTAATTGTCCAGTACAAATTCCCTTCACTTTTCACCGACTCCAAGTCAAGCAGAGTAACTACCCAGAACTGAAAAAAAAAAACAAAAACAAAAAAAACAAAGACTTAATCTTCAGGACAGTTAATTTTTAAAAGCCTTCAAAATATTCCATAAAACCGGAAGAGTGTGGAGTGTATATTATCTCCACTAGATCCGCATCACTTCTTTATCCTCTCTGACTAGGCTTCAAATACTGTAATCACCGCTCGGTGGTGGGGGTGGGGTGAGAAGCCGCGGAGCTGGACACATCTATACGGCACCTCAAAACGTCTATTTTCCAGTCCTCCACATCTTTCACCTCGAGGTCCTGTAGGACCCAGAAAACAATCTCTCTCTGGAATCAAAGCAAATGGCGACCAGGGGACAGAAAAATAAGACAGGGGTCGGTTCACTCGAGATTTGGTTCTCAGAAGCTCAGAAACGTCAAACTACGATGACGACACTGCGGGTGAGGGGCCCCGCAGACAGCTGATCTCTCCAGGTCTCCGAGCACCCCCGGCCACTAGACCCTCGCCCCCAGCCCGTCAGGACCCGGTGGTGGGATGGGGACGTGTCTCCGCGGGACGGCGCCTCCTACGGCCGGGCCTGGGGCGGGGACAAGGGCATGGACTCTTCACACTCCGCCCGGGCCGCCGGTGGGGGACCCCGGGGCCGCAGTTACAGAGCCCCCCCCTCCAGCACGCACCCCTGCGGCTCCGCCCGCCCTCCCCAGAGGCCGGCCCCAAGTCTCACCGTGAGCCCCGGGAGCGGCCTGGGGGCGCTGGGCGAGAAAGGGGAGCTGACTCTGGGGCTCAGGCCGGCCGAAGGGCGCCGCGCACGGACCTAGGCCCTCCCGACGTCTCGACACAGACACAATGAGTCACAAAGGCCGGAAGTGTGTCAGCACCTCGCCTTCCGGGGCTGCGCCGCGCTTCCGAGTCCTCTCTAGGAACGCGGGAGGCTTCTGCATCTCGGTGCCCGAATCGCTAGGCTGGGCCTCTGCCCCGCGGGGGTCCAGCCTGCAGCATTGAGGTTCTCGCCCTCAACTTCAGCGCCCCTAATTAATGCGAGGGGTGGAACGAGAGGGGGTGGGTCACGCTTTACATGACATAAACAGATTGTTCAGCTCGGACACCAGTCCATATTATAATTCCTCCTCTTTCCCATCCCAGGCAGTTTTTGTAATTATAGTTATTATCGAGCAATAATAATATGTAGTAATTGTATGTCTGTGGCGGTGAAAATGAAACAAAAATGTAGGCAGAGTGAAGATCAAAGTGAAGAAGGGGTGGCTGGTTTCACAAAACTACCGTGGTACCTTCTCTGGGGCCCTGGAGATGTCTGCCAATGGAGTGGGTGGTATTTTCAAATACTTGGCCTGTGGACAAAGGACAGCTCTTCACAAACAAGCTAGTTATAAGGTTCTGTGCGTTTGCTCATATGGCATATGGTATTATAGCAGTTTATGGCAGTTTAAAAGGAATTTTCAGAGTAATAACCGACACTTTTGCCCTCAAGGGGCTTTCACAACCTGCAATTGTGGTTTCACCTTCACCTGTCTTTTGAGAGCTAAGAAATAACGCTCCAACTCTGTGTGTTCCAACTCCGTGCGAGGGCGGCTGGGCTTTCACGGCTGTAACTTTGCTGTAGCTTCAAGACAAGTGCATAGAAGACACTGCACTAAGTAGGATCCCGGCTGCTTGGGGAGATGATTATTTTTTTAAATGCCTCAAAATTAGGGTGGCAGGACAAAGAAGAGGGGCCTGATAGGTTGGTGATGGAGAGTGAGGACATTTGGTAGTGGGTGTGGGATGTTCTATATAGTTGCTGAGCTAGAAACTGTATACCTGAAACCTATACAGCATTGTAAAGGAATGTTACCTCAAAAGAAAAAGTGCTTCAAAACTAAATATCAATTACAGTATCATTAAATGAAAATTGCAAAATGGACAAAAATAATCAACTAATTCTTCTGCCCTAACTTTAATTGTGATGACTTTAATTTATCCCTTTCCTATCTGCTTTCATATGTATATATTTTATGTTTATTATGTTAAACCTAGTTCAAAATCATCATTATATTTGACAGGTGGCTGGTGTGCTTGAACACCTGCCACATCTATGCGGTGACTACTATTTGGACCAGAGCTGATTGTATCAGGGTTGGACACTTGGTGAAAGCGCAGTTAATGTATATGCTGACCATTAGAACTATGGGGGACAGGCTGACCAGCTATGGCAGAGGGACCTGTAGGGGATTAAAGCGATTAGATCCCTTTGGAGGAGGGGAGATTTAAATGTGAGACAGAACAAACTGGGGTAAGCAGAAATCAGAAAACAGAAGCCGCAAAGCAATGGGAGTAATGAGTAAGTAGAGGCTTGAGTAGAAAGAAAAACAAACCAAGTTATTCAAATAAAGACAGCGGAGGGGCTGGTGCATCCCTGGGGGAGCTCACAGCAGGGATCCCAGCCACCCAGTACCCAGCGCCCACAGCATAATGAGGTGACAGCCTAAATAACCTTCAGACCAAACAAGTTTTATTCTCTGTTTTGCTTGCCTCTGCTGCAGATAGCATTGCTCCCTATCTCCCTACCTCCCTCTGTGTCTCACAACAAAATAATTTATCTTTGTTCTTTGCTCTCTCAAGTGTGAAAATCCCAGTGTGATTGATGTGAAATCATATGTACTACTGAAAAATGGTCACTATTAAAAATAGTAAATTAACAAATTCAGATTTTGTTACACAGAATAGATATTTATCATTTTAATAGCTATGTAGAAGTCCATCAAGCAGACTGGCTGTTAATTATTCAGAATTCCTCCATTTCTAGACATGTAGATTACTCCAAAGTTTTGCTAGTTTAAGAAATACTTGAATGAAAATTTTGTGCAAACATCTTTTGCATTATCTACTTAGAACAGATACTGACGAGTGGGTTTACTGAGTTATAGGTATGAATTTTTAAAAATGTAATTTACCAAATTTCTTGTGGGAAGACTGGTTCTCCCAGTCAAGGTGGAGACCTGAGGTGGTTGAGGACACAGAAGGCCCCCATAGGGGAGGAGGCCACAGCCAGGTCCTTTTGAATTTGCATTGAGAACACTTTCTGAATTGTGTAACCCTTCCTGATTATTTCCCCTCTCCCTGCTACAGTAGGCCACTGAAAATTAGCAGAATAATGGCACAGTTCCCTTTCTATCCACATCCAGGGAGAGCCTCTGGTAAATGCTACTCAAATATTGACTTGGATGGTGCTAATGCAGGGTTCACTGAGGAAAACTTTCCCTCTGGAAGCACCTGTCAGGTATGTATGTGTTGAGGGGAGGGATGGGGATCGGTCAGTGGATAACAGAACAATCTTTGCCAAAAACATGCAACATGTTTCCTAGAAGCCAGAAGAAATGAAGAAACCTAGCAGAGAAGGCAAAAACTACAGCAGTCCCTCTTTAGGAAAAAAAAAAAAAAAATATATATATATATATATATATATCAGTCTCACTTTAAGAAAGGAAATAAATGTTTGGTTGGTTTTAGGGGGACAGTGATCTCAACGTGGATCTCAACGTGATCTCAACTTGGAGGAGATTATAAATCTTGGGGGACACCCCAGATTTGCCAAATCAGAAACTCTGAGGGTAGTGTCCAGCTATCTTTATATTAACCAGCCTTCCTGGTGATTCTAGTGCATGCTAACATCTGAGAACCATGTTTTACTGGAAGACTTTGGTGCTGGTTATAATAGAGAAAGTCTCAATGCAAAATTTTTTTGTTCACATTACTCTTACACCGGTTTTGTTTTTTAAAAAATTCTTGACTACAAAAGAAAAGGTAGGAACACTCCTAGGGCTAATGAAATAAGTGAGTTGTTTTTTTTCTCTATTTATAAAATTACACAGGGAAGACCTTAATGATTGAGTTAACTTTAAGATTTATAAAAAAAAAGTCCAAATAATTACAAAAAGTTACTAAAAATGACTAACGTGACAATGACGACTTAAGACTGCTTTGGTGTTAATGAGAGAGTACATGTGACTAAGATTTTTCTTTAGGGGAATTGTTTAAAAGTCACAAAAAGCTTAGGAAGGACTTAATGTTATAGAAAATTTCACTGTTCTTGGTTTCCTACAGCAGGGTTTTTTTTTTTTTTTTTTTGTAGTTTTTAAAGAAAACAGTGATTTCTGATAGTTTTTTTCTGAATTCCTCATACAATACTTTTGTGTGTTGTTTGTTATTCTTCCCCACACCAGTGGTGGAGGTGTAGGCAGGGTGAAGCACAGGACATCGACGTAGGGGTGGAGTCCAGGCCAGGAGCTTCGCAGTGGAGGTGACCGGCACTTACTTGCCTTCAGTGGCCACAGTTGTCTAATCTAGATGAGCATCAAAACAAAATCTAGCTCCTCGAATGTTTTTAAAAAAAGATTTATTTTTATTTATTTATGCATCAAGAACTGGGGTGTAGGCCAGAGGTGGACGGGGGAGAGGTTTCACCAGAGTGAATTTTAAGACACAATGGGGAGCAGAACAGGCAGATCTACTGAAATACACTCCTGAGGGGAGCAGCGGTCAAGATAATAGAAGTCTGCTGTGCCATGTGGGTCAGCTCTCTGGTTGGGGATAGAACACCTGCTGCAGTGGCTGCAGATAGCTTCATAGAGCTGCAACTTAACCCTTTGCGCCACCAGGGAGAAGATTCTTGTCATAATTCTAGTCATAATTTTTTTCAGTTGTGTGTGGCAGCTTCCAGGGAAGGGAGCACAGTGCACCATAGGTTTGATACCTAGAATCAGACTGGGATTCAAATTTTTGCTGAAGTACTAACTGGCTGTGTGAGTTTGGGCAGATTAGTTAACCTCTCTGAGCTTTTGTTCCCATTATGGGTTCACTTGTACACCCCTCCTTCTTCATTGGAGATAGAATCTTTACAGAGGTAATCAAGTTAAAATGATGTCATTAGGGTGGGCTGCAATCCAACATAATTCAAGTCCTTATAAGAAGAGGAAATTTGGACACAGACTTTATAGAAGGAAGGCAATGTGAAGCTAAGGGCCAAGATGACCACCTACAACTTGAGGAGGGGGGCCTGGTCCCTTACAGATCTCAGAAGGAAGCAACCCTGTGGCACCCTGATCTCAGACTTTCAACCTCCACAACTGAGAGACATTACATTTCTGTTAAGGCTCCAGTATGTGGCACCTTGTTACCAAAGCCCCAATAAATGCAGTTCCTCAGTTACAAACTGAGGTCAGTGGTATTGTTACAGGGCAGGGAGGCACCCCAGAACCTCCCCTTTTCCTGGGAACCACCCTGTTACAGTATCTGCCTCACAGATTACTGTGAGAATAATATGGGAGCAGATGGTGAGCAAATGTCCACTGGTTCTGACCTAAATCCACTTGGGGGTTCAGGCTGGACATTTTGAACTGGAGGAAGGTGTCCTTCTCAGGTTCATTTGCACGAAGGTCTGGGAAGTCTCTTGAGACAGTGCCCTCCCTGTGGGAAAGGCTACAGACAAGTCTTATCAACAACGAAGTTCTAGCCATCACAGGGATGTGCTGGGAACACCAGGACACTGCTCCAGACTTACGGCTTGAGCCATGGCATCTGGTCAGGGCAAACACGGGTAGCTCTAGATAGAGCAGTTTCAGTGGAGGCTGGCGGCCTCACCGCAACGTGACTGGGCTGCCAGCTAACATTTCCTGCTGGCAGATCCCCAAGGGTTAGTCTCTGAAAGCCTTTCCTCTGGGGCGTATTGGTTTCTGTATTAGTTTCCTCTCACTGCTGTAACAAATAGCTGCAGATTGAGTAGTTTAGACCATACAATGTGTTCTCTTACAATTCTGGAGGTCAAAAGTCTGAAATTGGGTCTTTTGGGGCTAAAATCAAG